GTTACTTGCCTCTCTTTCCCCAGCTATTGAATGAGGGTAATATAATAGTACCTACTTCATCGTTATTGTGAGAGTTAAGGGGTTGATACACGTGAGGCACAAGAATTGCATCTGGCATACAGTGAGTGCTCCACAACATGTTAACTATTGCTGCTGTTTTTCAAACTGGCTCTCTCATTTGGAAGCAGCAGAGAATTCCCTTATTCCCATGGCCCAAGTGTCATGATTGTGGGTTCAGAAAACATGTTCCCAGGCCTGCAGGAATCATGAGGCCTTCGATGATTTGCCCCAAGCTTCTATCTTGAATAAAAGCACCACATTGCACAACCCAGAGGTTGAAAAGACTCCCATCTATGCTCCAGGGCTCTCCCCAAACTCATTCTCTAACCTTGTGTGGGTTCTCAATTAGTGCCAAACCAAAATTCTCAGAGAACTCTCGGGGGAAACCCAGCCAGACCTTGCTCACCTCATAAAAGCTGATAAAAGACAGAAACCTCCCACTGTGGTATTGTTTTTTATCTTAACTGGAGAATTTTTCAATGAAGATGAATTTATTTCCTTTTGTATTTCGTAATAATCGCCACTAAATAATACGTTGATTATCTGAAAAATCGTACCAAACTTTATGCACCATGAATATGACACTAACATTACTCCAGTACCTAGGGTTATGTATTACAGGACCAATAAAGCGATCTCTACTGATCCAGTGACAATGATGCAAATATTTCAACAGGAGTGAACTGAATAACGTTCATGTTTCCCTGGCACAAGAATAAAGAGGCCAAGGAAATGTCCGGGGAGAAATTATTTAGAATTGGTACATTTAAAGTCCACGATTTCTAACAGGCGTTTTACAGCGCGGCCCCACCGGAAGTTGAGTTTCCTACAAGCCGCAGGAGACAGCGCCACCTGCTGGCCGCAGAATTTGCCCGGCGGCTGGGAAGGGGCGACAGGTCCGTGGTTCAGGGGCAAGACTGCCCAAAAGATTTGTCTCAAGCGGTTCTGGTGTTGATGCCACCTGGATGCCTGAGCACCTTCTCCATAAGGGGGCTTGGAGCCCACTGAGGCTTCTTGTGCATAATGGACTCTTGGTTTCTCGACTGTCAGGGGGAGGAATGGAAAACGACGAGACCTCAGGCTTGCCACAAGGAGTCAGGTCACTGATCTAATGAGCTGGTTCTCAGACTCCACTGCAGGGTAGAATCACCTGGAAGCTTCGGCAGTCCCCATGCTCAGGCCTGCCCTAGCCGGATGAATCGCTCTGGGATGGGCCACAGGCATCAGTGATATTTGTATCTCCTCAGGTGATTCCAGTGTGCACCTAAGACCTACTGCTGTCCGGGCCCATCCCTGGCTGGGCTCACCCAAAGCTGACCTCAGAGGACCATCAGCCTAATGGGGAGATCCAGCAGAATGACAAGTACTACGTGTTCCTTTCTTGTCTTAGGGCTGCGCCTAGGCTGGAAGCCCCTACGTAGTAATCCCCTCCCTACTTTGAAAAAGAAACCCAGCTTTATTGAGGGATAATTGACATATAATAAACCGTACAATTTGACAAGTTTTGACATATGTATATGCCCATGAGACCATCGTACAATCAAGATAATGAGCATATTCTTCAAGATTGAGCTGGAAGAGTCCTGTTTCATACTCCTGTTTCACAGTTATTAAATACTCATTCTGTGCCAGGCATTGTGCTGGGTGAGAAGGAAACAGATTCAGCATGCACAACCTCCTCCCTGCTGACAGGACCCAGTTAGGACATGAAGAAGGTGATACTTCTACTTGAGAGTGCTGGGAGAAGAAGGGAAGGATTAGGAAACGCCGGCCAGAGGAGATGATGGTTTAGCTGATGTAGACAGATGGAGGTATTTATTAAGTGCTATGGTCTAAATGTTTGCGTCCCCCCATCATTCATATATTAAGTTCTAATACCCAATATAATAGTATGAGGAGGTGGGGCCTTTGGGGGGTGATGAAGTCTTGAGGGTGGAACCCTCAAGAATGGGATCGGTGTCCCTATAAAAGAGACCCCAGAGAAATCCCTTGACCCTTCCAACGTGTGAGGTTACAGAAGATGACTGTCTGTGAGGAAATGGGTCCTCACCAGACGCCAAATCTGCTGGCACCTTGATCTTGGACTTCCCAGCCTCCAGAACTAGGAGAAATAAATTTCTGGTTTTTATAAGCCACATAGTCTATGGTAGTTTGTTACAGCAGCCTGAACAGACTAAGACATTAGGCAGTTGAAGGAAAGGGGCATTCCAAGTAGAGGGAAAGCATGAGCAAAGGAATGGAGCTATGGAGAGGTGGCATGTTAGGGAACAGCAGGTGTGGCCAGAGTGCTGGCGCACCGCGGGGAAGGGCATGAGGCAAGGCCGGAGCAGTCAGTGGCAGCAGCCAGAGGAGGAGGAGTGACATGCCACAGGAGTCTGGCTTCATTCTATGAGCTCTGTTCTGTTGGTGGAGAACCCCTGAAAGCCTTAAGCAAGGGAGTGTCACAATCAGATATGCATCTTAAAAAGTTCACTCTCTACCCCCCAAATTATGTATAATCAATCACGCTTCAATGAAAAAAAAAAGTTCACTCTGACAGCCTTCCAAGGTTACAGGACAATCAGAAAACCTTTGCAAAGGTACCAAAGAGCAGGAACAAATGAATTATAGGCCATATTGTAGAAGAATCAAAACCAACTTTGAATGCAAAACCTATTTTCATAAATATTACACATACCATGTTTAGAAATTTTTTTTCTTTTCTCTAGGCTTTGACTCAGGATAGAACATTATTTTAACTCGAACAATAGCAATGAAAGTCTCTGAAGAACGGCCTGTGAAGCCCAGGATTTGTATAGCTCAGGACCTTAGAGAAGTGACAAGAGCTGGCGTGCCCTGTCTCAGAGGCGCACCGGGGAGGTTGGGCTCTTTAGAAAGGAGGTTCAAATAGCTTACTGCTAGTACCAAACTCAGAATCATCTTCAGATATAAAGGAGGTAACATGAAGGTCAGAAATAAAGTCTGTGATGACAAGTTACAGCAGCCAATTTTAAGTTATGTAGACGTTAACTCTGCTGCTGTTAACTGATTGATTGATGGCTAAGTCTTCACAATGGACATTAATAGTTCATAAGAGCATGTTTCTTTTATTCACTGCCTAGCCTTGAGAACACAAGAGTAAACATAAGTGATAACAGTGCGGATGCTTTCGGCTACAAATAACAGAAAAAAAAAATACTCAAACTGGTCTCCCAGCAGAAGAAAGTCCAAAGCCTTCAGGTATGGTTTGATCAAGGCTCCAGCTTCATCTCTCTGTGCTTCTTTCAGCTCTGCCCTCCTCTATGTGTCAGCTTTGTTCTCAGCAAAACTGAAGCAGTTCAAGGCAGCACATCTTCAAGCCCACTCTTCAGAAGGAGAGTTTCTCTTCTTCCCAGCCTCCTACCAAAGCTCAGGCTTTGCCCTAATTGCATCCAGTTATGCCTCAGGCTCACTCTCAAGTCAATCACTGTGGCAAGGATTCCACTGACTGACGGGTCAACTGGGGCCAGCCCCTGGAGCTGGGAGTAGGATCAGTTCCACCCAAAATGCATGACTGCTTCATCATTGGGGGAGAGGGGTGGGGGTGGGATATACATGGGGGGAGCAGCCCCAAATGCCTACTGCATGTTAAAGAATTATCTTGAGTAATCCAACAGCCCCTAATGAGGTTGGCAGATACCAATCACTCCAGTTTGCCATCTGTCATGTTTGCTATTTAAAATGAGACTGCATCTCCAAAAGCCCCAAACACAAGGAAGAACATCATTTACCAAGGACACTTTATTGTGTTACCTTTTATAATTAACAGTCAAGAAAAATAATAATAACAACAAATAAAAATTACTTGTAAAGGAACCAAACATTAGACATAAACAAGGACACTATAACATTTTTAAAAGCCTGTCCTGCTGTGGTTGCCCCCATTCTTACGTACGTGTGTGTGTTGGTGGCCACAGCTAAGCCTCTGTCACCAGGGGAGGCTGAGGCCCCAGTGCAGTACCCCAGAGCCTGCATCACAAGGCAGGACATCTGGACTCCTGAGCACAAGCTCCCTTTCTCACCCTCAGCCAAACAGAGTGTTTCCAATTCCAAAGTGACCTAAAGCTCTCGCTCCTGGGTTTTTTGTTTTTACACCTCTTTGTAGACTCCAGGGCGTGGATTAGAGCAAGGGCCATTTGCTCATCAGGGAGGGGAATCCAAGGGAGACGGTGGGTCCTGGTGCCTCCACCCTCACTCATCCTTCCGGCCCAGCTTCCTCTGACTCTCTCCCTCCTACCCCCGGTCCTGTTTTTTCTCCCTGCCCCTCCCACTGACTAGCATTTCGAAAACTCTAAAATGCACCTTATGGTGGACATTTCTAGTCCAGGCTTTCTAATTAACCACAAGAAGTTCCTGGATTTCCAGTCAGTCCTCCTGAAAAAGCTGAGAAACGTCTCTTTCCTGTCTTCTTGAGGTGAGGCCAGGTCCCGAACTCCTGACAGTTCAAGGGCAGCCAAAATCCCTACACTGGAGGGAAAGAAGTCAGATCTCTATTTTAATTTGTCAGAGAGCAAGCCTGAGGCCCTTAAAAGATGGTATCTGTCTCCTCATCCCCTGGGACCTCCACAACCGATGTGTAAGAGTGTCCCAGTAGAATTAGGTCACTTATCTGTAGATCATCATCTCAAGAGGAATGTTCTCTCAGGAGTGAACAGTGCTGGGCAGATTTCCTCCGGACTGGAAATGGTTATTAGTGCTGTATAGGAAAAAACCCTAACCATTGTCTTAGCACGTCATACTTATTGGAGAAAATCAACTATCTTACAAGTACTAATAGCATCTATGTGCATTTGATTTAATAGACACTTATTTAGCATGCAAGCTGTATTCATCACAGACATTCACAGCTTCCGTTCAGAGAGGCTGGCAGTTGTCAGATGCAAGAGGAACGTCGGAGGCCAGATCTTCACCCGTACTCAGTTCTCCATCAGTCTTTTTAAACACTCCAAATAATAGCTTGTGTACTGGGTTGGGGGCCATGGAGGCTTCCAAATTTTTACCATTCTAGACACAGAGAGAGAAGACTGTTAGACAAGAAATACTCTAACAGAAATATATGAGAAAATTTAGATTCATAAGATATTAACATTACTTTAATTAACGTTATTTGCCTTCTTCAGCTTTCTCCCCATTCTTCCATTTTTATCATTTCTCCCCTCGCCTCTCTTCCATTCCCATCTCTGCCCTGGCCTGCTTTGTCCTCTTCCTTCACCATCTTCCCTTCCTTCCATCTCAGTCACCTTGTCACTCTTTCCCCCGAAGAGTCGCCTCTGACAGTCTTCCTCCTTTCAACATTTCATTCGAATCACGCTAAGCAGTGCCAGCTATGATTATCCAACACAAATCTAATGTGTACAGGCTATTCTCCTGGAAAGTCGTCCCAGCGGAAATACATAAAATATTAGCAGCCTCACGTGCCTATCTCTTTAGAAATTGAGTTCCTTGAGATTTGTGGGAGGGGAGGAGAGAGATGCCTGTACACAGCCCAGCTGGAAAGGATCCCACAGAACCATGTTTACATTCAACATCCTTCCCTGGGCCTGACCCAAGACCTGGGTCCTTAAATGGCCTGAGAATGATTATCACAATCACAGGAGTCATATCCATAGAAGCTGGTAATTTAAAGGGACCCTAAGGACATCTAAATTAAGCTGCTCTTCTTATAGATGAGGAAATAGAAGTCAAGAGAAATTAAGTGGTGTGTCTAAAGTTACACAGATGGTCAGCATTGGGGGCCAAGTCATGGCTATTCACTACAACAGCAAGCTTCCTCCTTGATCTTTCTCTTTCCATTAAGAAGAAAGCAAGCCAGCCTGGGGGCAGCCAAGAGTTGGTGAAGACACACTAGCTGAGGTTCCTACTCTGTCCTGGGGCCTTTCACTCTGAAAAGCCAAACAGAAACCCCACCTAATAGTCAGGGAAAGATACACCTCTTTGGTTTGTGTAGGGATTTTGTGGCCGATTGTCTTCAGAAGCAGCTATCCTAATTTTAGGGAAGATGTTCCCGTCTGCTCCTAGATTGCTGAAGCCTGTCTGCTGCAGTCTTAGATTTTGAAAGTCTTCCTCAATCAAGTTCTGTTCTTCGATATTCTTCCTTTTGTTCTTTGATCTGTAATTAGTAACAGGGATTATTAGGACCAGACAATGGCAGAAAGTTTCCTGAAGTAAATCTTAATGTTCTTTTTTTAAAAAACGTTTTTAAATTTTGAAATAATTTCAAATTTACATGTAAGTTACCTACATATAATATATATTACAGAGTTCTCACACACCCATCGCCCAGATTCCCCAATCATTCACATTTCCGAACCAATTAAGAATAAGTTGCTGACCTGATGCCCCATTACCCATAATACTTTATTATTTTATTCAGTGTAGAGTCCCTAAGTTTAAGGACCGTCTCCTCCTAAGCTCCATCTAACTACAAAACCAGGAAGTTAATGCTGATCCAACATTGCCATCTAATTCCACTGGCCTCACTCAGATTTTGCTAATAATGTTAATATTCTTAAGTGTGCTTTTGAATTATTTATGGAAATAATAATAGAAGTCAAAGAGAAAAGATTATTTGTGATACAATTTTTCATTTAAGCAAAGTCAGCATATATAGAAGCACCTCAGTGAGTAAAGTGAGTTCAAGGTACAAAGGTCTTGAAAGGAGAAATAGAGTTTCCGGGAAACTCTACTGTGCCCCTCAAGGATCTCAAGAGTAACTATTCAAAACCAAGTGGAAGTGCTTGCAGGTGAGGGAGACATCTGCCCCCAAATAACTCTGACTGTGACCCTTCCTTCCTTCCTGGCCCACAGGCCATGGTCCTGGTCCCGATCCTGCATTGCCCTGGACTGTGGGAGTGGGGAGAGGGACCAGCATGTCTATGAGGCACACAGGGACACTCCCAGTCACCCCTGCCTCAGTCACACTGGGATTGTCACTCGCCCTGTGACTCTGATGGCCAGCCTAACCCACAACAGAGTTCCTGCCCTTTGATAACAGTCTTGAATACTCTTGTCCAAAGTGGCTGAGGAGAGGCTTCCCTTCCTTTTGAAAGGGGCAAGAAAATGATAATTCTTGGTGTGTTCTCAAGAATCATGAATCTGTAACTGTGCTAAGAACAAAGCTGTGTCTGCAGCAGAACGGAGGAACTAAGATGCATGCTGTCACAGGGTCACAAGGTTCTGTAGAACTCCTGAGGACCCAGAAGACAGGGCAGTCAGCCAGGCCTCCCAAGAAAAGAGGAGACAGCCTTGCTCCAGAATCAGGAATGTTCTGGCTCTCTTCCTGGAGAAGGGAAAGTCAGAGACGATGTGGGTGCTCACGTTTCCAGTTCCTAGCGTTGCCTCCTTATAATTAAGTCTCTGGGACGAGTAAATACCAAAATGAAATAAAAGAAAAAAAAAGAAGAAATAAAATATTTTAGGAACCTAAAATCTGTTTATCCTCTTACATCATAGTGGAAAAACAGCTATTTTGCCAAAATATCAGATATGAGCTAAATGTTAGAAAAAAAGTAGTTTGTTTTTATCAAAGTAGATCCCCACGTGGCACATTTAGAGTGGAAAAGAGATAATAGCATTCTCCTTTCTGTTAATGGAGGAAACTTTAGCATACCTAAATATTTTTGAATAAATTGAATGGACCCTACTCTTCCTCCCTTAATAGAAGAGAATTTAAGCCACCAAGCTGAGAGACTGGCCACTTAGCTCAATTGTTTAGAGTGCCACCTTGTAACACAAAGGTCAAGGGTTCATGATTCCCACACCAGCCAGCTGCTAAAAGAAAAAAAAAAGAAAAAGACACCAAGCTGAGGAATAGTCATCCTCAGAGATAAAGTTCCTATTTTTTAAAAAAACACAGGGGCGCTCAGTTGAGGTTGATGTGAAGTGACCATGTGCAGCAGAGGCCTGGACAGGGGAAGGACCTGATGAAAATTATATCTCACAACATCAATGGAGTTAAATTCTATTAACAAAGAGTATTTAATGACATAAGAAAATGGTTGCTATGTCATATTATGGTGTTAAACAAAAATAAATCTCAACAAAAAATGTTAAAAACACAAAAGATAGAAAATTATGTATATGATATCATTTAAAAAGATAGAAAAAAATCTGGAAGGATATATGCCAAAGTGTTAATTGCTTCAGGGTGGTGGGTTTTGTGCATGGTTTTTTATCCTCATCCTTTATGTACTTCTCTATTTTCTAGATATTCTTCCATGATCATGTATAGCTTTTATAATCAGAAGAAAATTAAGTGGTATTAGACAGGCCTCCTCTTATTTCCCTTCTCTTGTCCAGGAGAGAATAGGTGTATACGTGTGTTTGGGAACTAGAGTGTCATGCCAGTGGCACTGTGCCCCAGGAAAGGGGCACTTCCATCCCATACCTTGCTGAGAAGATCAACGCAATTGCCATGCTGAGAATGAGGACGCTAGCAATGGTGCTCACGATAGTGAGGATCAGCTGAAATTCTGAAAGGGAAAAGAAAAGAGTAGGAACAGCCTCCAGTAAGCTGGCCCCCAATTGTCTACTGCACAGGTCCGTGTGTTCCGAGTGACTCCTAGCTGTGAGGATGATCAGGCTCTGGTCCCTGACCCCTCCAAGGCCAGTTTGGCTAGGTGGCTCATTTCATTTAGTACCTCCTGCTGTAGACTGGATGCTCGCCCAAACTCACCGAAGCTTAAATCCTCACTGTAACTACTGAGGGTGGGAAATCCTAGTATGGTCATTGAAAGGTGGGCCCTCAAATAGGTGATTAGATTGTAGTTATCGTGCCCTAGTGAATGGATTAAAAATGGTGGTCAAGGGCTTGGTTCTGAGGGCTTTAAAAGAAGAGCACATGAGAGTTTTGTCTTCCTCTGCTCCACCGTTTTCTACCATGTGAGACTCCTGCATTGCTATAAAGCCACCACCAAAGAAGGCCCTCACCAGAAGTGTTCCCTGGACTCTGGACCTTCCAGCCTCAGAAACTGTAAGAAATAAATTTCATCTTCTTACAAATTACCCAGTTCTGTGTATTTTATTATAAGCAACAGAAATGGACTAATATACCCCCCAAACTGTGTCTTCATAACTCAATCAAAGAGGCAGCCTTGCCAGATAAAAGACAATAAATTCAAAGGAGGCTGATAGCAGCAGTCTTCCCGGGCTTTGCGGGGAGTGGGATCTCAGCCGAGGTCCACACCTCCCTCCTCACCTCTATTGCCTTTGCCTGCCCTCCACACCTCACCTCACTGATAAGCTAGGGGAAATAGGCCAGAGGTAAAATTGGCACTCACAGAGGAGCCAGGTAATGGAGGTTCGTTACCACCCATTCTCCTCCTCTGTCTAGCACTGTTGACACTTGAAATGTGGTTACGAGATGACCTGCAAGTGTAACACACACTGGATTCCAAACTATTAAAAACGGTGACGTATAGTTCGTTAATAATTCTTATACTGATTACATGTTGAAGTGATATTTTAGACATATTAGGTCAAATAAAATGGTATTAAAATCAAGATCACCTATTTCTTTTTACTTTTAAAAATTTATTTAAAAATTTTAGAATGTAAGAGGAAGCATGTAGCTCACATTATATTTCTATCAGACAGCACTGCTCTGGGCCGCTTTGTCTTTTCCTGCTATGTGACTGTCACAAACACCACCTCCAATCTGGATTCATTGGGCCATAGATCATTAAGTCTGGGAAAGACCTTGAAGGTAATGTGGTCCAAACCTCCCATTTTATAGGTGCGGAAAGCCCAGAAGGAAAAAATGATTTAGCAAATCCTTCTTTACAACAAAATACAACAGAAATTGAGAGCATCTCTCATTACTATCTTCATGGCTGGTGGGAAGGTGGACACATATTTCCTTTATCTTGGGTCATTGATCTTTGGTTCATTATGAAAATTTTAAAATATAAAATAATTTAAAATTTAAGGTTAGTATTGTCCCAATCTCGTGGGGGTGGGACATAGGAGGGAACCAAGCAATTGAATTTGCAACAACACATCCCAAACCAGTACATAGCTCTGAGGCAAGGAGATTTAAGTATTTATGTGTCTGGTTTCTAGGTCTGCTGTTCCACACCCATCAAAATTTTTGGAATGTACTGGCCTTTTATCCTTTCCAGTAGCAGAAAATGCATGTTTAAGCTAATATAGGAAATCAGTATAATGCCAGGACGCCCTTCTCTGGCCTGGAGCAAGTGCAGAGGCGCCAGCCCACCCCTCGGGCTGCCTTCTGTTGTTTTCTGTGGCAGAGGTGCTGCTGCCTGTAACCTAAGCATGGCATGGGGTGGCGTGACCCAGAAGACCAAATGCAAGCTGAGTTTGTCTCCCTGTGTGGAGGAAGCCAGAGACTTTGGGAGACTGGACAGGATTTTAAATGTGGTCAATTTATTTCTCAAATGTTTAATAACTTGCTTATAATAGCAAGACTTTGATACTCACGGTCTTTACAGTTGACTCCGCTGTAGCCAAATGCACACCTGAAATACAGGGAGCAATACGAAACCGTGTTAAAGAGCCCCCTGTGGGGAGCATGCCAGGGTTCTTCCTTTCCACCCTCCTCTTCCTTCCGTTTTCCCTTGCTCCTCCTTCTCACGTCTTCCTTACGCTCCCATTCTTCCAGGGGGGCACCTTCCACGGGGCTCTGAAAGGTTGAGGGCTATGCAATCCTATGTGGTCTCATGCTGCAGACAGAACACTCCAGCCTCTGAGCTCCAGGAGGATCCAGCAATTCAGGTGAGGCTAACCCGAGAGGCATGGAGTGTTGCAGGGCCTCCCAGGCTGGGTCACCATATGCCTCTACCTCTTATTTGCTGTCCAGTGAGCTGGGGCACGTTATTTACATTCAGCTTCCATTTTCTCACCTGACAGTGGGGAACTAACATTCCTGACAGTGTTGCTGTGCAAGAGGCACTACCTATTGTGTTCCTAGCACATAGAGGATGCTCAAAACCTCCTGATGGTGATGATGACGATGCTCTATACCCAACAGCCTATGCCAGCTTACCAACGTCTGACCCCCAACCCATATGTCCATTGCCAGCTCCATCCTTTCTGCTGAGCTCCAGCTATGGCAAGGTAAAAAGGAGTGATTTCTCTTACTCTTGACAGGTCCCATTAGTATCATTCCAGTAGCCTGGTTGGCACATGCACTCTGGCTCACCGTCCTGCAGTAAGCATTGTTTGTGATCTCCATTGCAGGTGTCGGGACACGTTACACTGGAAGCTTCAAAACAGTGATTTCTGGGTAATTTTCAGAAACAACCTCTTCAACCCCAAAATGACATGTGACAGAATACAAATTTTTCATATTGCCTTTTTTGAGGTTAAAACAGGGTGCTCACTGGCTCCACACACGACACCCTCCCCACACACCCCCCACACACCCCCACCACCTGCAGTGAAGCCGCGCATGGGCACCTCACCAGCTCCTAGCCAAGGTCCCAGTCCTGGTCAATATGTCTAAAGCCAAAGTTCACTTCACTCATACTCCGAAATGCATGTGGAAACTCAAGCAGTAACATTTGTCATTTAGCAAATGCAAAAGGAGAGAAAGTAGGAGTTGTGAAGAATATTTGTTAGCAGGTGGAGCACTCACCGACACATAAAGCAATCTGTGGGTTAGGTCTTTCCAGCCCAGTCTGGCAGGTACATCCTAGGCCATCCTCACAATTATCTCCATCGTCTTCACAACCATAATAATCACACCGACTAGTCACTGAGAGGCACAAATAATTTAAAAATATATTCAGTAAGACAATATGGATAAATACTTCTGAAAGCACTTTACTCCATTGTTGTTGTACTTTGTCTTTTAATAAGTTTTGAGATTTAACAAACAAAAATCTGGGATTCTGAAATCCAGCTCCTCAGTCCTCTCTTCAGTGACTATTTCCTTGTATTATTTACCTCAAGTTAATTCAATCCAGTGCAGTGCAATTATGTTCAAGTTTAAAATCTCTTTTGCACCTAGCTCTGTGCAAGGTTCCACAAGGGACACAGTAGCCATTATCACTTTTGGTCCCCATATTTGTAACGTTACATCTTTGAACCCACAGAGCGTTATACCAAACAACTCACGGTTCAGCCCTTTTAGGCTTTGTGGGCTAGACTTTAAATACAATGGGAATTCAGTGGCTCAAGTAGGTAAAGCTGACATCGTGGAGGAGGTACGAATTGAGCTGAGACTAAAAAGATAGGGAAGATTTGAACAGTCAAATCTTGTAGCCAAGGCAATTACTAAGGATAGTCAAAATGAGAGACTTGCACAGGAATCCCAACTTTATCTTGAAGAATGCACTAGATGGTTTCAGCTGGCAACCACTCTGACTGGTCATTCATTGCCCATGCTGGTGGGGACCCTCAACCTCCTCACACTTGCTGTCTCATCTAGCAAAAGCAGGGTGTGTGATAAGGTCCAGGGGACAGACATTCTGACTACATGAATTGCTACTCTGGACCAAATTATGATCCGAAAGAGAGATTGACTGGCAGTAGAAGTGATAGGGCCCACAGGAGACAAGGACCAAGTGATAGCCAGAGAGAGGAGTATAGGGCATGCACAGATGCAGACTAAAGACTTTGAGAGAATAAATACTAAAATGTTCAGGAAGGAAAAGGTGTAATTTCATGACATGAGACTCTGGAAGATGACAATAATTCAAGAAGGTGAGAATTTTTGAAAATGTAATTCTAACTGTGCAGCTGCAAAAATGAGTTGTAAGAAAAGATAGGAGTAATATAAAAACTGGTGTCATTTGCCCAGGAAGCTTTCAAATGAGAGGAATAAATAAAATATGGAAAGAAGTTCCCATAACCAAAAATGGAATATTTAAAATGCATCAGAGAGAGTCTAGAGCCCCAGATAAGCTCAGACTTGCCACAAACAAAATCCAAAATAACAACAAACTGACAACAGAGAACAAAAGGGTCACAATGAAAAATGAGCAAATGAATGGAGGGGTGTGTGAGTGTGTGTCTTCCATGCTCTGATGCACCCATGGAAAGACCAGGCCTGATTGGTGTGAAGGTGATGACAGGTGACGTGAGAACAACAGAATGATGCCACAACAATTTTTCTCCAGTCTCTTCTGCCAGGAAATCACACTTGGATGGAAAAGAGCTGAATGAATGTTGTTAAAAGGCAACTGAAGCCCAAGGAGGAGGTACAGCACACAGGAGCCTCCATATTTCCTGACAGAATTTAACACATTTTATCCCAGAGCATTTGCAGTCCAGGTCCTGAGATATCAGTGAGAATCTTTGTAAAATCCTGAAGAAAGAAAAAAGGTGCTGGAAAACTATAAATGAGCAGAATTGGTTTGTTTTCAATAAGAGAAATAAGTTTCACAAACTAGGCCAGGGAGTTTACGATCATTAAAAAGAAAAAATGTAAGAGACTAAGGAAGGAGTCTTAGAAAGAGCAAAAGGAAGGATGAGACAGGCAGGAGGGGGATTGGGAGAATGGTGGGTGTAGGCCCAGGGAGAAAGGGATTTCAAGAAGGGAAGGACACCAGTGCCAAATGCTACAGAAAAGTCAAATAAATTGTGGCTCAACAGAGGCCTTTGCATTTGGCAATCAGAACTGAGAACCAGTTGCACAACACGTCCATCAGGGCTGGTCCTAATAGGTAACCACCAAGGCCAGGAACTTCTGATGACTGCTGTGGTGGGTTGACTGCAGTAATGGCATTAATTCATTTATGCCTTTCTGGACCCATGCCCTTCCACACTGTGCTTGCTCGTGTGAATTGCTTTAGCCACTAGGACAGTTGTAAATGTGATATAAGCAGTCTTGAGAAACACTTGTGCATTGAATCTTACCTCTTGCTCTTGAAACCTTTTAGACTAGCTGCTGGAGGATGAGAGACCACATGGAGCAGAGATAAGCCATCCAGCTGAGTCATCATAGACCAGGCAGCCCCCAGCCCACCCAGCAGCTAACAGCAGATGCTTGAGTGAGCCCAGAAGAGGACAGTCAAGCCTGGCCTAGATCAGCAGAACTGTTCAGTTGAGCCTGGCCCAAATTGTGGCCCACAGAATTTTGGGGTTGCAACAAACAAATGGTGATTGATTTAGGACACTAAGTTCTGGGGTGGTTTGTAACACAGCAAACACAAATTGTTACAGCTACGCTTTGGGCTTGTGTGTCAGCCTAAAGGGAGAAACAGTATGGGTAAAAATATCTATAATTATTTGGAAAGCTATAACTTGGTGTAAATCCCTCTTAATTCTCCTTTCTTCATCTTTCCCTGTCCAGAGATGAATTGTCTGGACATTCACACTTCCCAAAACAGTAATAAACCGGCCAGTTTGATGACTTGGGAGATGGCTGGAAAGGAGTACAAGGCGAGGGAGAGTGGAAAGGGAGGAAGAATGGACTGGTTAAAATGAAATTTAGAGACATCTGTCAATTCAATATGTAGTTCTTGTCCCTTTTCACAGATAATGGAAAGGCTTAACAAAAAGGCAGGCAGATGTTTAGGTAAACTTTGATGAAATTATTTAATACTTACTAGTATATGTAAGTAATGCAATGTTACTTGAGACTTTTTTAATTGCTTCATTAATTGCGTCAGACACAGTCATCTCATTTGCACTCGTACTTTGTGCAAGAATGTTTACTACTGATACAGTGACAACGTCACCAGCACGCACTTCAGATCTCGCTGATGAAGATGTGCTAAAAACAAAATGAATTCGCTTAATGAATTGAACTGAAGCCTCAAAATCAAGTCTTCTAACCTCCCAGATTCCTGAATCTTCCAGCCCTTTTCCCAATCCACTGTCTAGTCTCCACAGTTGGCGTCCACATATGAAGGGCAGGGGCTGCAAAAAGATGGCAATATAGAGACCCAGAAATCTCTATTCAATGTGCATTCAGAGGAAACCTATGGTGAAAACAATGTCCTGTTGGAGGGCATTTAGGAAGATTGTGGATAATCACTTTTGGGAAAATTGTGGATAAACATTTTTCGGATCTAGGAGCCTGACGCTAACCAGAAGTAGAACAAGTAACATTTGAAATAAAATAGGTCTCCTGCTGAGCTGTTAAATCTCAAACTGGTGATTTGAAAGGGACACAGGGGCATCCCTTCTTTAATTCAGGAGGCAAGATGTTACACCTGCGAAAGGAAACAATGCAGCCACTTGAGTGTCAACAAGCACTAGAGCACTAGGCATGGAGTTAAAAGGTCTAGACTCAAGCTTGCCACTAAGTATCTTTTGTGCCCCAAGACCAGTCATAGCTTCTCAGAGCCTGAGTTTCTTCCTCTCTCCAAAGAGAGGTTTGGGAGAGAGAAATTCTGAAGATCCTTCTAATACCAGCATTTGTACAGTAGGAAAAGAGCTTGGGTATTCAGAGAAGAAAGACAGCATTGGGCTGGAGCCTAAGAACTGCCTTCCTAGGTGAGACCCAGGGCCATTTGCCCTACAGTGGCCCCTGAGCTGGGGGATGTAGTTCCCCTCCATGACCCAGAGGTTTGACTCCACACACCCTGGGCTCCCTTTTAGTAGTTCCTTAAGAATAAAAGGAGTGCCACAGTTTTGGGGACCTTTCCAAATGACCTTGTGGGACCAGCTTTCCATAACAGTGCAGGAACCGTATTCTGAAAAGGAAACAGACTGTCACTGAAATAGATTATGTGCCAGGCTGGGAATCTTCAAAATCTTATCTCATTTTGGGAAAATTGTGAATAATCATTTAGGATCTAGGAGCCTGGAGCTAAGCTGAAGTAGAACAAGTAACATGAGAAATAGTAAATTGTTCCTTTCTGAAGGACAGCAAGAGTCGGCCTCCTGCTGAGCTGTTGAATCTCAGACTCCTGCTTTGAGAGGGACAGAGGGGCGTATGTTCCTCCCTGTGTGCGGAGAGAGCAGAGACCAACCGCACACAGCCTGGTCACACCCAGAAGGGGCCCGGACGTCAGCAGGCAGCTTTAGAGTGTGCATGGGAACCTTCCAGATGTTCTCTCATTTACCCATCACAAGGCTACATGGTAGTTGAGCAGATTACCCTACGTCTACAGATGAGATGACAAAGGTTCAGAGAGGTTAGAACCCTGCCCTGCCACACAGCAAGAAGGGCCAAGGCCCGGGACTCGGGGTGACTCCACTGCACCTCACCATTGCTATTTTATCCAGTCGTCCCCTTTGTGTGAACTGGCTGTTGTCCACCAAACCAAACCTAATCCCCAGATATAATTCATAGCCCTCCAGCAGCTG